CGAGAAGCGCTCGAGTCCATCGCCCGGGGACACTTACTGCAAGGGTAGCGCTACAACCAGCCCCGGAGGCCGCGGCGGCGACTTCCTCTTCCGCTTTTCCGCTCCCCGGCACCCCCCCACTTCCGCTTCCCGTGTGTGCTCTCTGTTGCCCCGGAGACTTGCCCCGCTCTCCCGGAAACCGTCTTCCGCTCCCCGGCGGTGACCACCCTCGCTGAGCCACGTCCCCTATTCGCCGCCCCTTCGCGCTCCCGCGCGCCCCTGGGCTCTCGCCGGGGCCGCTCCGGCTTTCCCCCAGGGACGCCAATGGCTCCGGAAGTCCCGCCCCCTCAGCGAGACTCTTTTTCCCGGGGCTGCGTCGGTGGTCCCGTGTCCTCCCGGGGTCTCCTGCTGGCCGGACGGTGGTTCCGTTGTTCTTGCCTCCAGTTCTGGCTTCTGCGGGCTGGGGCTGGCGGGGTTGGGGGCACCCCGGCCCGCGTCCCTTCGTGCCCCTCTGCGCGTGGGAAGACGGGGAGGGGAGAAAGCCTAACCGGCGAAAGCGGAGACGGAGGCCCCGGAGGCCGTCCCTTTGCAGACGTCGGAGTTATAGAGGGGGATGAGTATGTTGTCAGGCTTTTTTTTTTTTCTTTTTTTTTTTTTTTGAGTCGGCAGTGGCACGCTCACGGCCACCCCAGCACCTGCTGGGCTCAGGCGATCCTTCTGCCTCAGCCTTCCAAGTAGCTGCAACCACAGGCATCCGCCACCACACCCCGTCAATTTCTTATTTATGGTAGAGACGAGGTCTCGCCAAGTTGCCGGGGCTGGTCTCGAACCCGCGGTCTCGGGCAAGCCACTCGTCTTGGCGTCCCAAAGTGCTGACCCCCGAACCCGGCCTCGGGTTATGTTTTCAGCCGAATTCTCAGTGTATCCCCGAATGTGGCGTGGCCTTGTGAAGCTCGGCCACGTTCTCTGCCTTCCCGATTGCACGCCGGAGGCAGGGAGTGCCTTGGGAGGTAGCCGGAAGGGGAGCCCGTTTTGCACCAGGACTGGGGTCGTTTTTGTCAAAGTTGAGGAACACACGGTAGATCTTGGGGAGTTGATGTCTAGGGCAAAGGCGGCTGTACGTGAGTTCAAGCGGTGACCGCGGGCTTTGTTCAGCCACTCATGACAGGAGGGGAAAGAGCTGAGCCCCCGATTGGGGTTGGTGCAGAGGGGATTTGGGCTATTTGAAGGGAGGGCGGGGAAGGGAGAACTCAGGAGGGTCTGAGACGTGGAGCACAAAGGGTTGTTTTGAGTGTAAAGGAGACTGGGCCAGCTGTGGTGTCAGCTGACCATTATCCAAAGGTTTTATCCTCCCAAAGACACTGGGAGGTAGAGACCTTGTCCTTGATGATGAAGGCTGAAGGAATGGTTCTTGGGTCCTTGAGACTTCTGAGTTGCCAGACAGGCATATTTACAATTGCAAGCCCTTTTCAGTAGACAGTCTTGTGTGCTGACTAGGTCACAGTCCCGTAGTTCAGTTTTCCCAGGCTGGCACTTCAGGTATGGCGGGGATCATCCCAGACACAGGGAGTTAGGCCACGAGAACTCCGGCAGGGTTTGGTCGCGTGTCTTAGCACAGGGGTTTGGTTGGGTTTGGCCTGTGCCTGGAATTCTGCAGTTGTCAAGAATAAGGTTTGCATAAACAAAGGGATTCAAATTTCTAGGTGTCCAGGCAATGAAGCAGAGCTGATAGCCAAGTTGTAGGGTGCAGAGATGTGTGTGATGGGGAAGAAGTGGGAGCCCCGTTTGTAGTGGTAGGAAGAAGTCATTAGAAGTTAAATTTCAGTTTATTACGGCATGGCAACTTAAGCCACTGCACTCTGTTGAACGGGAGAGTCGCTTGATTAAATGGTGATTTAGGAGAAGTGACTTGGTGAGTTGTATTATTTGTGCCAGAAGTGTTCACATGGATGTGTAATACTGTAGTCGGCCAAGGTTGACAACTGTGGTGAAGAGGCTTGACCTTTGGACACTTTTGTGTAGCTCCCTGATCTTTCTTAAGTAAATCAAAAGCAAAGTATGTCATTTGGGTGTACTATCTCATGCCATGTCTTTTATCCAAGTCTTTAGATACTTGCCAGTTCTCAAAGAATTTGCTCACAAGTTGAGATAAAATGTGTAAAAAAAAATATATGTAAAAGCTATCAAAAGAAATCCAAAGCACAATAGAAATTTGGAAGAGGGAAAAGCTTGGCAACTGGCAAAAAGTCAAGGAGGGTGGCACAAAAGACACATATTTTCAGTACTGTGACTGTGCAATATGCCAACAGATAAAACAGCATTTCTTCTACTCCCACATAAGTAGTGCCTATGCACCCACAGCTGTGGGAGAGTAGCTGGAGGCAGATGGAGGTCTGCAGTGAGGTGAGTTTGTTATAGCTGGAGTGCGAGAAAGGAGATGCCAGCGTGCAGTGGGTCGAATTTATAAGTCCTTTATTAAAGCTGGTGACCGAGAGTGGACTAGTGTCCCAAAGAACTCTCGGCCCCGAACAGAGTGAATAGTTGGGTATATAAAGGCAGAAATTACATAAACTGTACAGTTTGATTTACATTTTATTGGCAAAACATTGGACAGTTAGATTAGATACAGAAGTTGCAACTAGGGAGTTTCCAAGCACCGAGGGGAACAGGAATATGGGTGTGCAGTGTGATTACGGGAAGGTTACATAAGGGGGTCATTTCTAGGTTAAGATGGAAGATCGATTACAAAATGGAATTACTTGTGTCAATCTAGCTATTACAGGCTACTACAGGTTTTGCAAATAGATGTTTCAAGTTCAGTGGTGTTAGGCAGTTGGCTGAAATAATGAGTTCTGCTACTATTGGTTTGTATTTCATGTTATACAATCCCACCATCTCCACGTGTATACACGAGTAGTGAGCCTTGAAGTACTGGAATAGATTTTGAGGCTAAAGCACATAAAGAAGATATTTAAGTGTTTTCAGAGGGGAGAGAGGTGGGAGCTAGGAGGGTTGAAACCAAAATATCTGGTACTGATTCTCCATACTCTGAAGAAATTGGGAAAGTTTGCTATCCCAGGACCTAGTCTTCCCCATTTCCCCACTCTCCGCCAGTTGTGTTCTGATTGCTTATCTATCTGTGTAACATTTCAATGTGCCTGCACATACAATTTAGTGTAAAAATGCCAATTTAGTGTAATAACCATTGTGCTAAACTAAACTAAAGGTTCATGCACTGTCAATATTAGCCTGTTGATACCTAGTCACCCTTTAACTGCTGGCTCAATCAACAAATATTGGATGGCCATATCTTTAATTATTTGAGTGTGTATTTTAAAAGATCCAATTAAAATCATTATTTTCTCTCACGACTCACGGTTGCACTGTCTCCTCCCTTTCACCTATGTCATGTTCTGCAGTCAGGACTTTTTGGTATTCATTCTTGAGAGATTGGCTCAAGATAGCTTGCAGTCTTGATGCATGTGAGAAACGAACTTTCCTGTCCAAAATCAAAGGATGGACACAGAGACATGGAGTGCAGCAGAAGCAAGACTTTAATGACAGTCTTGTAATATGTCTGGTGGGCAGGCACACCAAAGCAGGAAGAATCAGCCCTTTTATCCCTCTTCTGGTTCCTCATTGGAGGAATACTTGCAGGAGTTCCACGCTTTGCCATAGGGCACCTACATATTACATGCTGATTAGTTTTACAGAATCATCTCATTTATATGTCCTATTTGCCGATTGGCTTACAGGATTACTATTCTGACTGGATTCTGCCAAAAGTTTAGACATGTAGTCCGCCAAAGTAAAAAGCCTGTGAAAAGGAAGCACAGAGAAGCAGGAAGTGAATCAACAAACAAGAAGCACAAAGCATTAGACACCATCTTGAGGCCAATAAATCACGATTTCTCACAATCCCCTCCTCTTTTATTTTAAAACTTTTGATTTTATTTTCATTATGATTCAGGTTTGTTTTAAGTTTTTAAAATAATTTTTGACTTTCTTCTTGAAGATTTAATTTAGTTTTTATTATCATGAGGTCATTA